GGGCAGCGGCTCGGGGCTGAAGCACGTGCAGCTCCCCTACCGAGCAGGACAGATGGCCTCTCTAACCCCAAGCTGCGGCTGCTCCTCAGGCACAAAGGGCCGCAGGAGGGAAGGGTCCCCATCCCCGCCGCCCCGCCGCCCCGCCGCCCCGCCGCCCCGCAGGAGGGAGAGACATCTGAGCACCTCCTTAGCAAGTCCCAGGAAAGCCAGTCAGTCTTGATGAGCTGCCAAGAGAACACCAAACCCACCAGCCGCCAGAAAAGACAGGAGAGGGTCCTTCCACTTTCCCTGAGCCTCTGGGGCAAATCTCAGTGGTGGCTGGGGCAGCCTGTCTCCAGCAAGGGAGATGCTTCACCACTGTTGGATGAAGACCACCAGCTAACATCGCAGCCAGAGAAAGTGTGGGAAGTGGAGATAGTGCTGGGCTGGGAGTCGGAAAGACTTGGGTTCGAGTCTTGGTTTGATGGAGGATGGCTTATAACACTTCACTGGGCCTCAGTTTTCTCACCTGTAAAATGGGGACTGGAAATTCCTCAGGGGCCTAATTAATCACGAATTACAAGTGAAATAACAGCTATAGGTAGAGCGGCAGAGAGAGGCCCCTCTGCTATGAGACTATGGAATCATAAACCCTGGTCCTGACTCCACATCCAAGCTGCTCGGGCTGCTGGCTGCAGCCCTGACTCCATCGCACACAGAGCTTAGAGGTGATGCTGACAACACAGCCCGTGGCCGAAGCTCACAAGTTCATGGTCCCAGTTTATGGATGTGAGGTCCTGAACGCTGAGTCAAACACAGGCAGAACAGCCGTAGGAGAGAGAGACAGAGAGACACCCACTCAGTGAAAGGGCCCAGCTTCTCCACCCACACCCCTGGAACCAAGTTCCGGTCCTGTATCCAGCACTGCGACCCTAGTCTCGACACTCAGTAACAGCTAGTGCTCACTGATCCTTTCACTCCCGGCCGCATTAACTCGTTTCATCTCAGTGACATCAGGAGGCTGGCACTACTGTTACCACCTCTTGATGGGTGAAGAGGCACAGAGAGGTAAGTCACGCTCAGTCACTCAGGCAGTAGGTGGTGGAGGGCGGAAAGCCAGGTGGCTTGGCGGGGACCTGCAGCCTTGGCCCTGTGCTCTCACAGGCTCCCTGTGCTGCTGCGTCCCCATCTGTAAACATGAAAAGCCACCCTAGGTGCATCAAAACCAATACGCGTGAATAGCTGGAGGGAGCGCTGGAGAGAAAGAGACGAGGAGAAGCCAGCGTGGCAACACATCATTGGTAAAATCTAGCTGGTGGGCACGTGAACATCCACCGTGAGACTCTTCCAACTTTTCTGTATGTTTAAAGATTTCCATACTGAAGTGGGGGAAAGTGGCAGCAGGGATGTGTGTCGAGGCATAATGCTGAGTGATTAAAGCAGACTCATCACGGTGCAAAAACCAAACTTACAGTTACGGGGATTTAAATGAGACACTGAGGACAAACCAGGGTGCGTGGCGTTTGGCATCAAATGGGTATTTAACAAGCGTATACAAAGCACCTGGAACTGTTATAAAGACAATAAATAACACTTCCTTCCCCTAGTGAAGCTCAAAATCACTGACACATCAACATGCATTTATTAAGCTCCTGGTGAATAACCAGCATATCGAGGTCCTGGGCAATCTTGAGAAGTAAAGACTGGGTTTCCCCAACCCAGGGTCCTGACTGAGGACATACAACATCCTATCTGAAAAGGACGAGTGCTGGACTAGACCACTATTGAAAACATTTTTTTTTGTATGAGTCAATTCAGGAAAAAAAGAATGCTGTGGGGATACACTTTAAACTAAACAATGACAAACTTTTCGTACACCAAGGGAACACGTATATAGGTAACAGTGTATACAATTCTACTTTATAAGATAGAAGATGGTTAATAAGAATATTATTGTAGCCTTAAAATGCTATTATCTGTGTACACAAATCTCAAAGGAAGTAACTGCATAGAAGAAATTTCATAATCATCACCAGGGCCTGAGCTGCTGCTTGGATTTAGGGATCTCTAAGGACTCCGATTCTATTACACACTCTACACATTTCTTGGAGGGAGGCACTTGCAGTGGAAAAAGGACTTGGATTTAAATAACACTGAATCACACCATGAGAGAGTTACTCCCGTTTCAATTCATTTGAATCCTTCTGATTACGCCAAGCAGAGGGTCTCTGTGTGGTGCCGGCCCTGAACACCTCTCCCTGCGTAACAAAGGGCCCGAGCTTCCGGTTCACGGCCACGGCAAGTGATAACCTCAAGCTGGACTCAAACTGTGCTATTTTATTTCTCTCTGTATCTTATTTTTACAATTGCCTTCTGTTTATGACAACTAATACTGTTTTTCCATTTCCCAATAGCGACAAAAAATTTCCTTTCTAAACATTTTCTAAGTGAAAAAGATGGGCTGATTTAAACAAAAATAGTGACAGTACATGGCTGAGAAATACAGGTCTGCTCCAATCTTACCATTTTACAGAAGAGCAGACTGAGGCCCAGCCTCTCCCAGGATCCCACAGCAAGTCAGTGACAGAGCAGGCTTTGAAGCCACGTCTCCCGGAGCACTGTCCCGCGCTCCTTCAGGACTGCTAGTATTTGTTCCAGCTCTGCGTCTGATTCTCACACTGAAGTAAGCTCTGGGGCAGGACAAGCAGCAGCAGAAAGAAGGAACCGTCTCCCCACCCTCTCGTCCATCCTGTCCAACCCCACGCACCCCAGGCACGTGTCTCAGATCAGCAGCACTCCTCCGCTTGACTCTCAAAGCCCCCATTCAGGCAAAGAGGCAGTGGGGCCCCACCCCCAGGGCAGATCCCCCTGCCTCTCAATCTGATGTGTCTGAAATCTTCCCTGCCCAGACGTGTTCCAGCCCAGAGCGGGGATATCTCTACCCCTGCTCCCATCTGTTTCATGCAGGAAAGCGGAAGAAAGCTTTGCTCACTGATTGACGTCCTAGAGGATGTGGTTCCTGCACGGGAGACTGATCCCAGTCAGTCTGGCCTTCAGTGAAATAAATTCAGAGTGAGGCAACAGCGCTTTTGAAATTTAGAGTCTGATGGTTCAGGATACTCAACCAAGACCCCAGGCTGTAGCATCAAATGTGAGATAATGCGCGGAAAGCACCCAGCACAGTGCCTGGCACACAGTAAGCGGCCAAGATATGGTAAACATGGGCATTTTCTTGGGTATTTTATTCCCTTAATATCACCTTAGTTTGGATGAAGGGAGCTTTTTTTGGTTTTTGGACAAAGTACAGATGAATGCAACAGGGCCTTTGTGTATGGCCAAGTAGACTGTGCACTACACAACCCCAGGGCACCATACATAGACTAAAAGGTAAGTGTGACCCTGGGGTTGTGCAGTGCACAGCCTGCACAACCAGACCCGGCATCCCTTAGCATAACTCACCACAAATTCCTAACCAGGAGTCAGAAAACCTGAGTCTTAGCACTGATCTCTCCACTAAATTGCTGAGAGACCTTACACAAGTCTCTTTCCCTCTCTGTGCCTCAGTTTCCTCCTCTTAACAGAACCAAATGCCTGAAGTTCCTTTTCAGCTACAAAATTCCATGATTCTACAGGAGCAGATTTCAATTTCTGAAGGGCTGTCATACAGAAGAGAAAATGAGCTCACCTGCCTGGCTTGAGGGGGACAAGCTAGCATGAGTAGGGGGAGGGTTATCAGGGGGAGATGGCTTTTGCCTCAGAAAGAAAAACTGGATCAGAGCACCTAGCAACTGACGAGGCAGCTTTGGGACATGGCGAGTTCCCCGTGGCTTGAGGAATTCAAGTACAGACTGGGTTAAGAGAGAGACTGATCAGAGGTGGGAGGTTGGACCTTACGCCCTTTGAGGTCCTTCCCAGCCTGGAGATTTCAGGGTTGCAAAGCATGGTTCTGTTCTCACTAGTGTTGGAGGCGTCAGCCAGGGCTGGGCCTCGTCAAACCCTGCTCATAACTATCAGTGCAATGAACTTGTCTCCTAGCCGCTCTCACCCTCTTAAAGCTCCAAATTAAACTGGGTGCTCCCAGCAGCACTGGTGTTTACCTTTGCTCTGGCAAACAAACCTAGAAAGAACCAATTAATAGCCTCACCCAGACTTGGGGCAGAGAGGAGATGGAGTCGGGGTGGGAAGCCATGTAAAAAATTCAGGCGAATAAAGCATACAAACAAGTCTAGTGTCTGTACTCCAGGGACGGCTGATGCTAATTGCAAATCATTCTTGTCTATTCATTACCGCAAGTCCCCGGGGAACTTCTAGCAGCAACAGCTGTGGAGGACTGGGCTGAGCTACTGCGCACGAGGGGAACGAATCAGGGTTTCCTTTAAAATTGTCACCTTTCTGACTTTTAATTAATTCAGATCAGGCGCCCCCAAGGGTGTAAATGGCTGAGGTTGAATCGCAGTGCCTTTAAGTTGCATCCGCGATGTACAAGGAACAGCAAGATTTGGCAATTATCCACTTGGGACGATCAATAACTGCATTCAGTCAGTCTCAGGAAGGTGGGGTCCGAAAGCCTCCGCTGTTGTCAATAATAGCAGTGTTTCATTCTGGCTTCCAAGGTGACTGAGCACCCCCCCCAAAAAAAAACCCAGCTTGGATGTACCTCTTAAAGACCTCTATTCAGAAATTTAGTTCAGGGCATCCTTAGCTCTTCAAGCAATTTAAATAAATTGTCTTTTCCAGTTCCCTTGAACAGAGTGTATATTTACACAATAAAAAGGTATCAGTCTCAATTTAGGGTATTTTCCTGATGGTGAAAGAGATTTAGTTTCGCAAGATCCTAGAACCTTCTCCCTTGGTGACGTTCCCTGAGGCGAGCAGCAAAGCCATGCACCTAGGAGTGGAGAAATGCACCCCAAGTAACAGAAATACACACGCTCACACGTGTGCCGTATCCGGCACCTGAGAAGACGCTTTCACACAGCTCAGACACTCCGATAACAAGGAAGGAAACAGAGTTCACGTACCTTTCTGCCTCCTGCTCTGCGCTCTGCTGTTTGCTCTCGAAGGCATTAAAGCTGCTCATGTCCACGTAGCCGTCATTCTCGTTCGCCGTGGACAGGGCTCTGCTCTGATCTTCGAACAGCTTCGTAAATGTCCCGGCCCTCGCGGGCCTCCGGGGCGGAATCTGGATATTCTCGTAGTCCGAGTTCATGGCTGGGATGTTCTCGTAGTCCGAGGTGTCGGCGTTGGGGAACGAGATGGAACGCGGCTTGGTCAGGGGCAGGGGCAGAAAGGGAGGCCGGGAGCGGTCCTCGAAGGACTCCACCCTGGACACCGTCCTGCTGAAGGGGACACCCTTCCTCTTGCCGCTGTCCCTGCAGAAGATGAGGGAGGAGGGCGAGTCGCAAGCCCGCGCCTTGCCGGTCCGCACCTTGAGCTGGGGGGAGTTGCTGAGGCTCCTCCGGTCCAACTCCAGGAGCCGGGCAGGCCCATGGTAGCTGGACTCCGAGGAGGACCTGGAAGAAGACACGTTGACGTCCACGTGCACCTTGCTCTCCGTCTTCTTTTTAAAGGTCAGCGCCAGGAACCGCTTGAAGGACGACTTCTTCTTCTTGGCGTGCTTGTCTGGGGGCTCGCTCTCCACCAGGAGGGAGGGTGAGCTCTTTGTGATGGGCTTTTTGGTGATGCAGGCCAGGTCGAAAGGGGGCGGGATGTCGACCACAGAAGACGGCGTGGAGGTGCCGCTGGACGGGAGGTGGCTCCGCTGGGAGAAGCTGCCGGAGGAGCCGATCACGCAGGGCAGAGAGAGGCTGTCGTCCTTGCCCCTGATCCTGCGGGCGTCTGAGCCGCACGCCTCGGGCTCCCGGTACAGGGGCACGGGGATCTCCCGGCCTTCCACGGAGAATGACCGAGGGTACAATGTGAAGGCTCTGGGCTTTGCTGGCAAGGCCCTGCTGACGTCCAGGGGCTTCCCCTCCAGCGACAGGCCCATCTTCCTCGCCTCTGTGATGGCACCTCCAACACTGATGGCTGACGAGCCAGCTTCTGGTCCCATTTCTTCCGGGACGGTTTCTGGGACGTAGCCAGCCACCTTCCCGGAGTGGGGCCTGGCCCTCGCGATGACGTTCTTCCTGTCAATGGGGACCAGGCCACCCTCGGCATCAGAGCTCACGTCCTCCTTTGTGCCATTACCACTCAGGGTGTCTGAGGCAGCCTGGTCCTCAGGCATCTCCCCCTCCCCAGGGTCCACTCCGCACACCACACCAACTCCCATCTCATACGGGTTGGTGAGTGCGTCGTCCATGGCATCCTCGTCCTCCGGCAGGACCACCACGTCAGGGACAGAGGGGCTGTCTCCGGCACCACCCTGCAGGGAGCCACGCCGGCCACATCCAGTCCCAGCCACGGGGTCCTGCCCCGCATGTTCCCCCACCTGCGGCTCCTGCTCTGACTCTAAGCCCCTCGCCGACTTGGGAAAAGGAGAGTAGCTTTCACTGCAGAAGGAGGTGCTCTCAGTCGGGAAGAGCTCGTAGGGACTCCCCGAGAGCGGAGTCGCGAAGTCGTCCACACAGTCACTCTCGAAGGGAACGATCTGGCAGCTCTCCTCCACCGGTTCTTCCTGTGGGGGCTCCTCGCCTTCTCGAGGGTCTTCTCCTGCCTCCTGGGAGACTGCTGGCAGGTCTTCCAGGTCAGCTTCCTCATTCTGGTCTGGAGGCTCAGCCTGACCGTCCTGGCCGCCACCGCCGGGGGCGTCCTCACATTCCTCCTGGGAGGGATCCTGGCTGTCTATGGCTGCCTCCGTCTCCGGGGCGCCAGTGACCAATCCGTCGCTCTCCAGGGGTGTCTTGCCAGCATCTTCGGTGTCCCCCTCAGCGGGCCCGCCAGAGTCCACACCCTCATCCGGCTCTGCATCGGTGCAGCCTTCCTCACCATCCTCCTCTGTCTCCCGGGGGGTCCCAGAGGACCCGGGCTCGGGGCCACAAGCTGCTGGATCCTCCACGCCAAAGTGCATTAGAATGATGTCGCTCGGGAAGATGGCCTCCCCGTCCCGAGGGCTCCCGGCCTCCAGGACGTCCTCGTGGTGTTCTTCCACCGGCTTCTCTTCTTCCTCACTCGTGCCCTGCGCCTCGGCCCCCGGGTCGCAGGCACAGTTCTCAGCCACCTCGTTCTCAGGCGTGGGGGGCCCACCTTCATCACCCTCTCCACTTGGCTCTGCTTCAGCTGGGGCTGCCACGTCCTCTGTAGCTGCTGTCCCCTCCTGGTCACTCTCCTCGCCTCCCTCCTGGCCCTCCTCCCCGCTGGCCTCCGTGACGGCGTTCTCCACAGAGCCCCTGTCCCCGAGTCCATCTTCTCCCGGCGGAGCCCTGGGGACCACGATGTAATCGTCGGGGGTGGGCCGCGGCTCCTCGCAGAGGCCCCTGTCCACGCAGGGCAGCTTGCCGTTGCTGCACTGGCTCAGGCTATTGATCATGTAGAAGCTGGCCCGCCACTCGCTGGGGGTGGCCAGCCTGGGCTTTGGGGCGATGGGGGGTTTCGGCCCCCTGGACATGGAGTTGGGGCTGTGAAGACTCTCCGGCCGGGGTGACGAGGGGAACTTGGGTGCCGTCACTGGCGTCAAGGGACTGGCAGCCTTCGGCTTAGGAGCAACAGGTGGCTTGGGTGAATCTAAAGTGTAAGAATACAGAAAAGGAGAGAAAAAGCAGTCATCTTCATGTCCATTCAGGCTCCTACTTGCCAGCCCTCAAGGGAACACCGAAGATGGTTTCCCAGCCCATGAGAACCCCATGGACCATGTTCCGTCACAGGTTTACGCCTCCACCAGCGTCTTTGGAGCCTCTAGACTTTCCACTAAAGGTTCACCCTGTAAACAAGGTGAACAGACCTCTCTTCTGCCCACACAGCCCAGCCAACAAAGCTCCACCGAACGACGCCCTGCACTCCTCAAGTAAGTGTCCGCCTCGCTGCACTTGCTCACTCCACAGCTGCGTATTCAGGGCTTTCCATGTGCCCGGCGCTGTGAGACGACGCTGATGGAAACCGTCACCATCCTGGCTGCCCTCCTGGAGCCCACGTTCATTCTACCATTAGTTCACTGGAAACCTACTGTCTGTACACATAGCACTGGGCACGTTAGGGTCTTCCAGGGCCAAGAAGAGCACTTACAATTGAATCAGGGAGATGGGACTAACAGGACCATTTGAGGACCGAGCCGCAGATCCTTGGAATATTATGACTCAGTATCCCCCCCCATTATCTCCTGCCCTCAAAAAATGATGCACCAAAGGTTTGGGATGGCAGCATGTGATTCTTCTGAGGGTCACCTCTGAATTCTGTATGTTTCAGGACTGGTGTCCAGCTAACTGCCGTGCATCCAAATTGCACAGGTGTCCAAATTTCATGGGAGAAGTTATACGGTCTTTATCAGCATGGATATTTGCAAGAGGCCTTGTCCCATGTGGATGCTGAGGATCTGTGGACACGGCAGAATAAAAGACGTGCAACCGCAGCTAGAGAAGCAGGAGTGGCCGTGGCAGGGGAGACCTCCTGCTTGGGGAAGGGGAAGTTTCAGCTCACTTTTGCAGGATGGGAGGGGCCTGGACAAGTGAAAGGGCCCACTTCCAAGTTTAGCATCTCTCCTGCCACAGCCCCCTGCCCTTCATCCAAGCCCCTCCACGCTGCAGGCAGAGTGAGGAACACAGACTTCCAGGAATGCAGCTCCATCCCGACACCTCCACTTCAGAAGCACTGCCCACTCCCACGGCCCAGGATTAGGATGGACAAGTCTCCCCTCAGCCCAGTCCCATCTCCCAGTTCCATCCCCACTACGCCTTGGGTGTGGTACAGAGCAGCCCCAGAGTGCCAGCCTGCTGTGAGGGAAGGAAGACGGAGCAGAGGGCTGGGAGGTCCGTCAGCAAACTCCTCCTCCCCATGCACTTGACTCCCAGCTCAATCCTTGCAGATCCAACCCCAGCTATCTTGAGTCCAGGGCTGTCTGACAATATAACGTCAGCCACATTTACCATCACACACTTGATTTTACACTTTCTCACAGCCACGTTAACAAGTTGAAAAAAAAAAGAAACAGCTTAAATTAATGTTAACAATACTTTTTTTCAACTGAATGCATCCACAAAATTCTCATTTTTGGATATTATCATGTAATCAATGAATCATGTTTGGATCAGCAGGTAATCGACATACAAAATTTATTACCGAGACATTCGACATTCTTTGTCGTACCAAGTCCTCGAGATCTAACGTGTATTTCACACTTATGGCGCATGGCAATTCCGACTAGCCACACTTCAAGTGCTCAGCAGCCACACGAGGGTGACGGCTCTGGTGCCGGCCAGCACAGCGCTCGCTGATTTTACCCCGTCTCCGTGGGACTGTCCAAGTGGCACCTCAACTTCAGTATGTCTGAGGCCAAAGGCAGTATCCTCTCCCTGAAACTGGCAGAGCTATGTAAAATGCAGCCGGGGAGGCCCTAAAGGAAATAAAAAAGGCCCAGAACAGCAATCATATAGGGTTACAAAGTCCATTCCTGAAAAGGCCTGATTTCAGAGCCTCAGTTGTGTGCTGCACATAAATCGAATGAACTTAGTCATCTGGTTTCCCAGTGCACAGATAATGAGGAGGGGTCTAGGGAGGCAGTGAGAGCAGGAATACTGCCTTTGTAAGATAGGGTAGCTGAGGGCAAGGAAGGGAGAGAAGGGGCACCACTGTCAGGGATTTAAAGGCTAAAGCACCCACTGCCTCAGCCCCCTAACCCACACCCACATCTGTCCGCACCAACACCCAGGCCAGCCACTGACATCCAGAAAATAACCTAGAGTCTTCAAGATAAAAGAAGAGACTTTCCAACCCCTTATTTCCATAAGCAATCAAATATGTCCTCATTTAGAAAAACTTCTGTCCAATTTAGTTTTTAAAAAAACCCACAAATTTTGGAACTTAAACAGCTAAGCTTCAGCTCCCTGTCCACGTGGAGGAACAGAGTAATAAGCCTTTGGAGCCTGGTGATCTGAGTTCAGATACTGCCTTCGCCACGTACAAGCATTGAAGTCGAGCCTCAGACTCCTTGCCTGTAAAATGGGTACAATAGTAACACCTACTCTCAAGAGGCTGTTACAAAGATTACAAGATAAGTAATATACTAAAAGTGCTTAGTAGCAAGACTTCGTGTAGGATCACTCAACAGTAGCTGCTGTGTAGCCGAGCTCCCTGACCCGACACCTTCCCCTGCTACAGGTCCCCGCTCTGCACTGATCCATAAAGTAATACTAGTGTCACCACTCAACATCAGGTGTCAGGCAACATCAGGTGTCAGGCGTTCGCATGACACTCTTCTTTGGGGGTGGGGGCTCTCATTTCTCATCCGTAACAGGTGGTGTTTCGCATGGGCTCCAGCAGACCTGACGGAGGGTCAGATGGGCCATGAAAAATGACCGTCACCTGGGCTGCACCGCTCCCACCCCCACCCCATCCTTCATCCAATCAAGATATTGATCCATGGGCGCCGTCTCCTTGGAAAAGGTTACAGTGGGCGCCTGAGGCGTGATCCTGCAAGAAAATGCCTTCCCCAGAGGAGCCAGAGAGAGTGACGAGTACACAGAGTCCACGCTCCCAGCTCTGGGGCTCCGCGCGTTTCACCTGCATCCTCTCTGAGATCAAAGGATGCCACGGTCAGAAAGGCCTTGTCTGATGCCTCAGACAAGGTGAGGAGGTGAGGAGACTGAGGCACAGAGCAGGCGGGTGACCGGCCTGGATCACTCCGCGAGCTCCTAGCAGGGACCCGGCAGGACAGGGCTTTCTTGCTCCCTGGTGCAGTAACTTGAACTTCTTCCTTGAACCTCTGCCTTCACCCTTTTGCCACTGAGCATTTCTTCTCCAGCGGAGACTCAGGGCTCCCAGCTTCTGGTGAAGCAGAGAGGGGCAAATTGCAGAGGACTGAGGCCAGAGAGACCAGGGGCAGCTAACCATGTGAGAAAGTCACGTAAGGCTGAGTCAGAAGGACTAACTGATCAGAAAGTGAATGACTGGCTTTCCTTTGCTCCCATCCAGTTTTCTTTCATCTAATTCCATTACACAGATACTTACTGAGCATCTAGTATGTGCCGGGCATTCATCTAGACTCTTTGGGTACATTAACAAATAAAACAAAGAACTTACAGTCTAGTGGTGAGAGATAAGCAATAAAAAAGATTAAGTACGTCATGTATCACATGTTATCTTATCATATGATGATCATAAAGCCTGTGGGGAAAGACCAGGAGGTGGAGAGTTTAGCAATTTTAAATAGAGTGACCAGAATAAGCCACATGAGAGGACATCAGAGTGAAGACTTGAGAGAGAACTCTCCTGCTGTGTCCAAGGAGGCCAGAGTGGCGGAAGGGAGAGAGGGAGTGAAGGGTGGAGCAGGAGGTGAGGCCAGAGGGGCCTCGGGGAGGGTGCAGATTACACCTGGCCTTGAGCATAAGGACATGTACACTCCAGCTAATGTGATGAACTAAGCAGAAGTGGTGAGGATGGAAGCAGTGAGGAGGGGCTTGCAATAATCTGGGGAAGAGGAGGTGGAGGCTGGGACCAGGCTGGTAGCTGCGGAAGTGGTTAAAAAAAAAGGTCAGATTCTGAATATGAAAGCAGAGCTGGTGGGATTTACCAACAGTTTGGATTTGGGGTATAAGAAAAAGGGACAAGTCAAGGAGAACACAAAGGTTTTGAGCTGGAGCAACTGGAAAAGTTAAGTTGCCACCTGAACTGGAGAAGGCTGCAGGTGCCGGGGAAGGAAAACCAGAATTTCCTATCCCACACCTGGGAGGAAATGTCAAGTGGGCTCTTGGATGGAACAGTCTGGGTTCCCAGAGAGGTGGGGCTGGGGGCAGCCATCAGAGGGATGGAATAAGGCACCAGCCCGGTGAGATCACCAAGTGAAGAGCGCGGGCAGAGACAAGAGGGCGGCCCAGAAGGGAGCTCTGGGGTCCCAAGGTTATGAGAAGGAGCCACCAGAAGAGACTGAAGAGGGAGGAGAGTAGATGGAGTGAGTGTGAGAGCTTCCAGCCCTGCTCCCTCCCTGCCTCCCTCCCAGAAAAGGAACCAGACAACCACTCTGCCCTCAGTACTCAGTTAGCTGGTCTGAGACCAATCCTGCCTAGAGAAGACCCAGGGGAGAGAGACACTGGGGTGCACGCTGAAGGACAGGGCGGATTTTCATAATTTGAAAAGAGGCTGGGTGTTCCAGGCAGAGAGAACAGAATGTGCAGAGACCCAGAGGCAGTTAGATGCAAGCTCTCCGGGAGCTTGGTAGAGTCCAGTTTGGCTGAGCTTCAGAGTATGGCGGGGATGGGGGGATTACAGGATAAATCAGAGCAGGGGTTTCCTCCTCTGGGTGAAGCTTAACTTTCTGACTGTCCAGAACCCAGCATGGATGGAACTCCTGGACCCTCTGCTGCCTCCTGAGTCCCTCTGGGGGCTGTATGAACCTTCTCTCTTCTGTACCCAGAGGCTGGAGGTCACACGCTCCACACCCTGAGTTACCAACGCCCAGGACCTCCTGGCAATCTGCTGGGCCTGAGGATGACTCAAATGCAGAACACCCTTCCAGCCGAGATGCTAAGAGTTAACTGGGGGATGGGGAGTCACAGTGACAGGAGAAAGAGATTTTTAAC